TTGTTACAAGTGTAGTACCAGTTATATCATCAGCTCCTCCAACTGGTGCTGTGGTAGTGAGCACTTCTCCATTAACTAGAAAATCTAGAAGACTGCAGGTAAATTTCATTAATATTCCAATAATATTTTTTACTGATTTAATTTATTAACATGTTTTGTTTTATATTAGGAAAAAGACGGAAGTAAGAGCACTTTAGAAGAAACTATTGATGAAGTCGCACGAGGTCCTTGTACAAGAAGGACTACACGTTCTAAACCTCAAGCAATTCCTTTGCTGAGTCTAGAAACATCTCCACGTAAAACTAAACAAATTAATGGGAAAAAAGTTAAAGCTGAATCTCCACAACCAGTGTCTAAACCAGAAACTATTGATATCACAAATGAACAAAATTCTGATAAAAATCAGCTTTTAACTTCAACACCTTCGCTATCTACATCATCATCTTCAACTTCTTCAGAAACTACAACTTTAATTGATCCAGTTAGTGGCTTGCTTATTCCAATGCAAGAATCTGAAGAAGGTCAATACGTGCCTATAGATAACGAAGACTTAAGGTATGTGTTAGAAATCTTAACATTTTTTTTTTTTTTAAATAAATACATTATATTTTTAAAAATTGAACAAACTACTAAAACCCTATATTGTATTATTAGATTCTCTAAAAACCAAATTATAAAAATAATTTAAAATTTATTGCAATATTAGTTTTGGAAATATTAAATCAGTTTCTCCACAGTTCATTTTTTATCATATACTTTTGTTGCTATCTGATTTGTTACTAGAGAAAATCCATTTTTTATTTAAGGTACTTATGTATTTTATTAAATAAATGTTCATTTTTACAGAGGTAAAAGGTCACTACAGTCAGATGAACCACCTGAGAAAAAAGCTCGTCTTGAGAAGACACCTGTTACATCTATGGCAACATCTAAAAACAGCACTACCATTCCAGCTTTGGCTGTTACCCCTAATAATATACTTCCAGCTACTACTACCACATATGCAGTCACCCCTGGAATGTCAAATGTTGCTAAAACACCTTGTGTTATGACAATCGCAAACTCTGCTCCTGTTGGACTTGTTAAGCCCAATATTACTGCTTCTGTGATTGCTCCTACTAACATTGTAAAATCAACTGCTGTGATGGCACCTTCACCACCTCCACTCAAAACCCAAACAACTACTCTAAATAAAGTTCCTCATCCTGTAATCAGTCAACAGCCAATTTGCAAACCCCCTACTACAATTTCTTCTATGCCACCACCAATAAAATCTCATTTAACTGCTGTAAATCGTACTCCACCGTTGCCAAAATTATTGTCTCCCAAAGGACACATTGTACAATCATATACATCACAGTCAGTAGAACCAAATAATCAAAATTCAGTATTGCGGCCACCTTCAACATCACCTCAGTGTTCACAACCACTGTTGGTACATACTCCTGCTGTAATAAGCCCTCCATTAAGAGGAGTGTTGAATTCTCCTATACGTGGCGTGTTAAGTCCTCCATCAAAAGGATTACCAAGTCCACCATCAAGAGCTGTACCACCATCACAACAATCAACACCAATTACACACAATTCATCAGCTGCACCTGATGTAAATATTATATTTTTTAATTTATTTATTTTGTAGCAATTTTGTTTATACATTAATTTATTTTTTATTTTAGACCATTTGTCCAAAAGGATTTGATCAATCTAAAATTGAGAATTCAAGGTGTATTGTTATGAGGAGCCCTTCACCACTTGTGTTGTCAGGCCAACCTTTGCCATTTGAGGCAGGTGTTGACTCTACACCAATAAATTTGGTGCCAGCTCATCATTTCATACATCCACAACTTATTTACCCACATCACTACCTAAGAGATTCAATGGGAGCTTTTATTCCAACCAGTAAGAATAAATAAATAAACTTTTAAAATTTATTAAAAATTTTAATATTTTTATATTAGGAAATGTAAAAGTAGTACCAGAAGTGGAAGAAAACATGCCACCACTAGAATTACGCAAAAGGCTTCCTGACGAATGTATTACCGACAGACATCAACATATTGGTGGTCCCCAACAATATGTGAATGTACAGCAACATTCTCGTCCAATTGGCAGTCTTCCTTATGGACAAGTAGTACCAATCAATTATGGATATCGACCTATCAATTCCGTTTTAAAGGTATGTATTTATTGATCTTCTCAAGTATACTCAACTTTTTACATACCTTGTAAAAAGATCAATCAATATGTCTAAAATAAAATCAAAATTTAAGGATTTTCCTATCTACTGGCAAGGAACGTTAGCCCTAAAGAATGACAAAGCACTCGTGGAAATGCATTATTTATTTGGGAATGCAGCTGTAGCTGAGCATTCGTTACAGCGAAGCATAGACGGAGAATTGAAATTATCCCAACGTATGCGATTGGAACAAACTCAGTTAGATGGTGTTACACGCAAATTACAAGTAAGAAATTTATGACAATATCTGAAAATTTTTATTAATCAATACATAACACTAAGTAAAATATTATTTTATTTACTTTTTTTTAGATTGAAGACGAATGCTGTGTATTAATTGCTGTGCCTATTGGTATGAGTGAAGAAGAATGGAATCAACAGAGTTGCACATTACATAATGGTTTTATTACTTATTTACAACAAAAACAAGCAGCGGGAATCATTAATATTACAGCACCTGGAAGCACTCAGGTATTTAAGTTTGTCAATAATTAATTGAAAAATAGTCATGATAGACATTGTTCTTTGGAGAATAAAATAGAACATTAGCAAACTAAATTATAACATTTTATACTTGTTTGTTTTTCAGAATGCTTACATAGTGCACATGTTCCCGCCATGTGATTATATTAATAGTGTTCTAGCTGAGGTTCACCCAAATATGGTGAAAGATATAACATCTATGGCACATTTGATAATTGTCATAGCTACAGTGTAAATATTCTATAATGAGTACAAATTTCATATTTCTTCTAGCGCATTAGGTGCACAAAGTATAAATTATTATAGCTCATAAAAATAAATCATTAAATGAACCTAATAAATGATAATTATTGTTAACAGTTTTTAATATTATTATTATTATTATTATTATTATTATATATTTTTTTTTTACGCATTAACAATTTGTTATTGAAAAATAATGCTAATGATTTCAAATTGGTTACCATAATTTAAGAAGTTTTCATATTTAAATTAAGAAAATGTAAAGACGAAAAATACTGTACAAATTTTAGGAGTTTAAAAAAATTGTTTTTTATTTAAAAATTTTTGTTATTTATTTTTCAAAAATTCTAACTTTTTTTTATCTCGATTTTTTATTATTATTATATTATTATTATTATTATTATTATTATTATTATTATTTATTTATTTGTAGCCAATAAGCTGTAGACCTTAAAATTTACATGAATGTATAGAATACATATTGTTGATATAATTTAAACAGCCAAATGTTATATTATTAAGTGGAATGAAATTAATGAGTGTTTATCGTAATTAAAGAATAATTTTAAAACAGACAGTATTATTTGATAAAATGTTTTATGTACTTATATAGAAAATTGATACATATACGAGTTAAAAGTTTTTTAACATATTTAATATAATATATGTAAATGCTTGTATAAAAATAATAAAAATAAATAAATAAAAATAAGATCATATACATTACATAATACACTCATATATTTATAATTAAAATAAGAAATTGAAAAATTTAATCCCAAACACTAGTGTACATTAAGTATTCTACTGTTAAATGTGTTTTGCTCAACTAATTTCTAACAGTCAATATTGATACATACGTAAAATATATATTTGTTCACATATATTCACGCAATGTGTATAATACATATTCATGCATGTGTATATGTGAACATATAATTTATATATTTCCGTGTTTATGTGTCTATATATGTATATTATATTTATATGCACACATTTACATATATATATGTGTGTATTTATATTATAATAACCTAAATATTTTAGGAATTATTTTAAGGTTTTTTATTTTATTTTTTATTTTTGTGTATATATCATTTTTAAGTTTTTAGACTCACTAAATATATTACATTGTATATGAATACCCTCCCTGTAAAAATAATATAAATACAAATAAGAAAGAAAAGAAGAAAAAAAAATTTGTTCTTTGGCTGTGATCTCTGCATTAAGGTTCACTGTTATAATTTGATTGTATTATAGTTTTTTTTTTTTTTTTTTTTTTTTCATGTAACAAGTGCATAAAATATGTATTTAAATTTATTTCAATTAGTTATTATTATTGAATAATAATAATAATGATAATAAAGAGAAACCCACTGTTTAGAAAAATAAAAACTTTTCTAGTTTTGTTTCGTTATGAGTTTGACATTTTAGTCTCGTGAGTTTTAAATACAACAATTAGTATGTTTAGTGGTTTATATAAAAAAAAAAAAAAAAAAACAAATCTCATATTATCAAATTGCTGTTGTTTTTTGTTTTATTATTATTATTATTAATATTTATTTGTAACATATTTATATTCAACATATTGTTAGAAATGAGAGATTACAAAATGATACTACTACCTTGTTTGTATATAATGGTATATAACCTATGAATAAAATACATAATTGTTTTCCGTTAACAAATACGAATACAAGTGTTGATCACTAAAATTATTTCACTATTTTAATTATTAGTATTTGATTGTCCAATACTATTGCATAAAATATTGTGGTACTAGAAATTTTATGTGGATAATTCACAGTATTAGATCAGTTTTTGATTATAGCTATATTTTTATCTACTATTGTATTTACAATATCTTTATTCATCTAAATAAACTCAACCACAAAAACAATTACCATAATTGATAATGACACTATAATGTATCAATTTTGTTTTATTTATAAAATATTCATACAAGTTTAGCTCCTTTGGCTTATTATTTGTCTTTCCAAATTATATAATGTCACACATAAAATACATTTCAGTCTGTAAATAGAACATTACCTTTAATGATTTTGTTTGGGGTGTATGTATGTTATTCACATTTAAACAACTCAATATTGGATGGTTGATAGATGATCCAAAATTACAAACAATACATATTTTATATCAATATTGGTTTTTAATAAAATTGAATTAGGTACAATACCACAACAGAGACTCCAAGCTGAAACAATATATAGGGTATGTAAAAATGTACTTATATAATCATTCCAACTTTTATTTATAATTCTGTAAATAATTTCATGACTTTTTTAGAATAAAGTGCAAGCAAGTCACCATAACTTTAAAATACCAGTTACATTCCGTTTACGGCAAGAAAATAAAATCATGTGCTCAATGCAGTACAATTTTTGACAATACTGTTAATTTAACTTACCACAATACTATATGGTATGCATAATTTATACAGAGAGAAGAATTATCAGGTATTATCAAGTATTATCAGGAAATTATGAACATCAATTATTTCATAAATTAATTTTTTTTAAATTACTAGAATAATAAAATGACGTCCTATATTAATGGGAACTGGTGCAACCACTGTTATAGTTAATATAATGTGTACCTGTAAGCAACGGTAAACCATTGCTTACAAAAAAAAAAAAAAACAATTCTGAGCTGAGTTCAATTGATAGTGTTGCTTTGTCAACAATATATATGTCATTATAGTAAAATAATTAAATAGGCTTCATATATTTTTTTAATGTTGTACTGATTTTCCCAGTTTCCCATTTGTTGAGTAAACTCTTGGGAAAAATCGAAAAATGATCTCTCTAAAGTACCTCCCCAATCAGATTTACTTTTAGAAAAAATGTTATCATAATAAATTTGGGCAAAATTAATGGAAGTTAAGTTGTTCATAGGAAAGAAAAAAAGCCGTAATATATTATTATATATAATACCTAAATTTCTTATATTTTCCGTTTTTTTTTTTGGTTTTTCACATTTTATGAGAAAACTCTTGAGAATCAAAAAATTACTTTTCAAAAAAGTACCTCCCCACACCGATTTCCTTTCAGAAAATGTACTACACTTAAAATTCAGAGCGAAATTTCTGGTAGAAAAGTAGCACACAGATTAAAAAACAAAACAAAATAAACATCTTTATAAAGCCATAAGCTTCTTCGTTCCACTCAGAATCTAAAAGTTTAAGCACATCCTTATCGTTTCTATTGTATGCAATATTTTACTTACCTTGATTATGCCTCGATTACACTGAGTGATTTTACATGCTAGTCGCTGGTGAATTAACTCGCTGCTACTAAATTCACTCATTGTAATCGGTCTAGTCACTTACTCACAGTGTGTTGAATACTCGCTGCTCACCCGCGAATAAAGTTGATGGCTGGGCTTCTTTACACTAGTCGCTGGCGTTTTTATACTTCATTGAGTAAAATCGCTCAATGTAATCACCCTAGTTGGCAAAATCGCTAGTGTGCCAACGAGTAGTGACTGGTCAAAATGTCGGAAGCTGTAGTTCGCGCGGAGTTGTTATGATTTCTCATTTATTGCGACAGGTGTTGGAAAAGAAAAGATTATGGATCAGAAGTTGGATTTCAAGGCGAAAAAAATAAGGTGCATCCAGTACATTATTAAAAGAATTAAAAAAAGGAAAACTGCAGCCTACCGAAATATTCTAAGGATGAACGAGGCCTAGTTTGATATATGGTAAGAGACGATTGACGGACTAATTTAGAAAGAAGACACTCAAATGAGGATGGTGATTCTGTCGAAAATCAAACTGGAAATAACTTTACGTTTTTAGCTAATGATGATTCATTTAAGTCTTTACAATATCTTATCGTGTTCCTGAATGTACAAATTCAGTATTTTTACCTGATATACTTAAAGCGATTTCTTAAGTGTTAGAACTATTTATTAAAGTTAGTATGATTATAAAAAAATAATGTACTAATAAATAAAATAAAATAAAACTAAATATTAACAAAATTCTTATATTTATTGTTTTTAAGTAAACTTTATCATTATTAAATTGTATAATATAACAATTAATTTTAAATTCATACAAATTATTGGTCATTGTTGGTCAAAAAAAATCTAACAATTTTAAAATGCACAAAAACTAATCATATTTCTAGAAGACAAATTCTTTACAAATCCTTAAAAAAATATATAAAAATAACAAAAGATGGGTGGGCCGCTGTTATAGGTTAGAAGTTGGTAAGATAGAGGCGAAGTTGAATGTATATCTGTACGCAAAGATTAATCATTGCTAACGAAATACTATTCTGAGCAAAGTTTGGTTAATAGTATTGCTTTGTCAACAATATATAATGTCATAATATGATAAAATAATTACATAATATACATTCAAATATTTTATTTAATATTGTTACTATTTTCCTGTTTTTTCCAAATTGTTGGGAAAAATAAATACAAACCTCCTTAAAGTACCACCTCAGTCAGGTTTACTTTCAGAAAAAGTGCTATCATTGTAAATTGGAGCGAAATTGCTGGTAGAAAATTCAGATAAAAAAATACACGTCATTGTAAAACTAATACATTCATCGCTCTGTTCAGATTTTAATACATATTCTAGAAAAACCAATACATTATTCACTTCACTTGGAGTCCAAAACAGAAATAAACTAAAATGTCTAAGTTTTTGTCAATGGTACGAGCCATATACGACACTATAACCTACCTTTCCAAATTCTCACCTACAACAGTGGCTTACCCATTGTGAGAAGTATGTCCAACATTTTAAAAGTATTATTTTTGTATTATTTATTTAAGAGAATTTTCACTGAGAAATTGAATAATATTAATATTATTTTTAGACAAAGGGGTAACTATTTGTGTAGGTAGTTGTATTGGTCAAATAGATATCACACATTTTTTGTATTGATTCTAAAATCTATTACAAATCTATATATATTTTATATACGTACACATTGCTTGATGATTATCTATTCATTAAATTAATAATACAGCAAAATAATTATAAATAGTGATCATTTTATTAATTAAAGATTAACCTGTAATTAATCAATTATGAACAGGGTTCAGTTCATAACTTTAAGTATTTGCTTATTTTTTTGGCTGAACTTAAAATCCAGCAGAGTACTATGGAAATGTATGTTATGTTACAATGATCTAAAATATGAAATTTGATAGTGCTTTAAGATTTTGAGTGGAGCGAAGAAGCATATAGTTTTACAAAGATGTTTTTTTTTCTGTTCGACAATTTTTCTACCAAAGATCTTGATCTGATTTTTTATGTATGGCACATACATAGATATATAAGGTCATTTTTCGATTTTCTCATCAAATTTGATAAACCAAAAAAAAAAGACCTAGGAAAATGGGGTTGGATGCAGTCACTGTTTAGCACTATAAGAAACGATAAACCATTGCTAACAAAAAAACGATTCTAAGCACAGTTCAGTTGATAGTGACGCTTTCTCAACAATATATATGTCATATTATGATAAAATAATTAAATATGCATTATATATTTTCTTTAACAATTCTTTAACAATATTTGTTTAGTTTTCCTGCGTTTTTCCCATGTTTTTCACATTTGCTAGGAAAACTTGGGAAAATCGAAAAACCTCTCTAAAATACAATTTAGACAACTTGACCTTTCAGTTGCTACACGTAAAAATCAGATCAAGTTTACTACGAATAAACGTGTTCACAGACTAGAACAAAGAAATAAACAGCATTGTAAAACCAAAAGCTCTCCGCTATGCTAAGAATCTAAAATTAAATGAAGAAATGCATAGAAAAAATTTTTTACAAATATATTGTTTTACATAAAAATAATTTATTTTAATTGGGGAGATTATTTAAAATAGGTTATTATTAGATGTAGTTATGTTAAGAAACATAAATCATTGGGTTATTATTTATTATCTAAAATGTATTGATATAAGATATTATTTCTAAAATCGGTTTGTACATTAAAAATATTATTAAAATTATTTTTCTTAATTTCATTGTATATAAGTAATTCTTCTGAAACTGAATTAATCTAAATATTATTTTGGATTTCTAAAACATGTTTAATGAAATTTGAATTAAGGGCAGTATTTTTTAATTTTATTTCAGAAATTTGTTTTTTATATCTTATGTTAAAATGTCTATTTATTTTACCTATATAAAATATATTACAGTTACATTTAAGTTTATATAGACCAGCATTTTCAAAAGAAGGGGGATTTTTTTGTGAAGTTTTTAGTTCTTTTGTTTACATGGTTGATTAAATGTGTAATGGTTTTAAAAGCGATTCTTACATCATTTGTATTATTGTTCAGAATTTTAACGAATTTGTTAGACATATTGTTTTGATATTTCATACTACAATAGTTAACCACATTATTTGGTGGACTGTGTATTATTTTTTCTTTAATACATTTATGTATTTTTTAATAGGACATTTATTTAAATTGAAATTATTTCTAAGGGCTATATGACTCCAGGGGATATTTTATTTACAAATATTAACCATTTTAATAATTTTGTTTTTACTTTGTTATTTTATTACAGATAAATAGTCATCCCTGATAATAAAGTCAATTTCTATTATATAAAAATATACAATTGTTCTCAAAAATCAGTTTTCAGTTGAAATTTATGATGTATTCAAATTTTAGAAATTCCAAATATTTCCAATTGTTTTTTTTTTCAAATTTGTGACTATAATATTATATTAGAATTAGGTAGGTATTCTATATCAAATATTTGTAACTAAATAAGTTATTTAACTTATAATACATGAGTTAAGTATTAAATTAAAAAGTGGGTATATTTTATGAAATTCTTCATTTTTAATAGATCTTGTTTACCCTGTACATAAGATGACTTAATCAAGTTCTGAAAAACAACGCAGTGCTCATTAAAACAATATTTTCAATGTTTCTAGATCATTCATAATGATATAATGATTCTAGAAAGTTGGTATTACAAGCATACATCATTATTATTTGGTTTTATAAGTATACATTTAAAAGTATAACAAAACAATTAATATTGGTACATAAATTATAATTTATTATTAATATTGTTAATTTTATTTTAATAGAACATATTACATTAAAAATATACAAGTGCAATACATTTTAAAATTAGTTTTTCTTAATACACTTTTTAAATAATATAATTATTATACATTTTACATTATATAACATTTTTTTACATTAATGAAAATTACAAAAATACAAAATTTAATTAAATAAATTTTAGACACTGATAATAATAAACATTTTAATTTAAAAACAAAGTTGAATGACAAGGAATCAGGCGGACAATTAAATTGTATAATGTAAAATGAATACATTTTTAACCAATTAACTTATACCGGTTTTGTTAATATTAATCTCACAATAATTTGGGATGACTTAAACCTGAAAGATAATTTTTAATATTTCTTTTATAATTTCTGTGATAACTATAACTATAACTATTTGATGCCAACACCAACCAGACTTATGTTCATTCATCAATACATTACTGAAATTTTTTTATTTATTGTGTTAATGCCAAACAGCAATTGTGTGGGTAACTTTATTAAGGAAACGCAGTATTCTGTGTAAAGGATGGTTAAATTTTAAACCATAAAGAGTTAAAGTGGAGAAATATAGAAAAGATCATGTTTTCTAGTACTATGAGAAGGGCCACGTAATTTCATAAATGGGAGCCATCGAGAACAGATAAGATGAATTTGAGATCAACGCCAGACAGACGATTTGAGTATAAAGATGTTAAGTTTCAGCAAATTAGTGAATAGTCGTAATGTGGATGTTTTTTAATGAGTGTGCTGCATAGGAGATAAATCTATTCACGCTCTATTGTAATTATATCTTTTGCTGGGTGAGGATGCCAAATAATTGCGTCATATTCTAAAATTGACTAAACTAAGACAAAATAAAGAATACAAAAGAAGTTTACAGAACTAAATATTGATGTATTACGTTTTATAAAATCCAACACTTGAGAGCTTTCTGACAGTAGTATTAATATGATATATTAAAACCGCGTAAAAAATAAAACAAGATGATCAAACAAAACAACTCACTAAAGAGGACAAGAGATTATTTCGCCTGGTGAAAGTCAAAATATGGCGTTTTTTATATGAAGGCTAAGTCTAAGGTGTTTGACACACGAAAAACATTTTAAACTCATATTGAAAAGTGGGACAACTTTCCTGGTCGTTAATTTTTAAATATATTTTAATATATGATGATTTTCACCCCCCCCCCCCACTATCTATAACCTACAATTGCTTAGTATCTTCAAATTTACAATTTAACGATTATGTCTTTAATTGGAATTCTGATTATTACAGAAGCATTATAAGTTACTTAAGCAATATTAACTGGTTCAGTTCAATTGATTCTAACTCTTGTGTTAATAATGATATCGATTTTTTATATACCCATATTAATTACGTTNTTAATAAAACGTAAACAAAATTCCCAAAATATTTATAAAACTTTAAAAACACCTGAATCTTACGTAAATTTTTCTAATCTTCGAAGTCACTGTAAAATAATTAGATGTCGTGATTATAAGAGTTATATTAATTGCACACAAAACTCAATTAAAATAAATCCTAAACATTTTTGAAATTTGTATAAATCACAAAAATCGAATAATCAATTACCTGCATCTATGTCGTATTTTGATAAAGAAGCAACCTCTAGTATAGAAATTGTTAATTTACTTAAATCTCATTTTTCTAGTACATATAAATTAAATTCACTAATTATTAATAACACTAATAATACTTCCAAACTAGATAACTCTCTATTTTGCTTTAACTCTATAATTGTATCTATAATGGATGTTTTCAACGAATTGTGGTCTATTAATTTAAAACTATCTACAGGTCCTGATGGTATTTCTGCAAGGTTCTTAAAAGAATGCTCATTTATTTTGTCACCTATTATAACTTTTTTATTTAACAAATCTTTAAAAACTGATATTTTTCCTAACATATGGAAATTTTCATTTGTATCTCCAATTTATAAAAAAGGGAATAAATTATTAGTTACAAACTACAGGCCAATTTTTAAAATTTCAATACTTCCAAAGATATTCTCTAAATTGGTTAACAAACAATTATTTCCTTTATGTGAACGTTTATTTTCAAACGAACAACATGGATTTCGTCCAGGGCGATCATCGTTAACCAACCTAGGTATTATCAAACAATTCATCTTAGAATCAATTAATATACAAGCTCAAGTCGATGTAATCTATACGGAATTTGAAAAAGCGTTTGATAGAGTTAGTCATTCTCTTTTATTAATTAAACTAAAAAAATTTGGTTTCGACAATCCGTTACTTTCATGGTTCGAATCTATCTTAACCAACCGAGTCCAAGCAGTCAAATATGAAAATCATATTTCCGATCAAATAAATATATCATCAAGTGTCCCCCAAGGTGACCACCTGTCACCATTACTATTTTCTATTTTTACTATTGATATTCAAAAAATTATAAAAAATTCGCAATGTCTTCTTTTTGCGGATGATACTAATTTTTTTTAAGAAAATTGAATGTTTTGATGATGCTATAAAACTCCAAGACGATCTAATTAATTTATATCATTGATATCATTGGTGTGGTGAAAATGGTATGTCACTTAATATAGATAAATGTGCCGTTATATCTTTTTATTTAAAAACAAGTACGCTATTTTTCGATTATAGGTTAGATAGTGTCAATGTGTCACGCAGAAATGTAATTAAAGACCTGGGTGTTTTATTTAATTCAAAAATCTCATTCGATCATCATATAGATTATATTAGGAATAAGGTATTTATGAAATTAGGATTTTTAAAACGTATGTGCAAGGATTTTAATGATGAGTCGACACTTAAAACTTTATACCTGTCATTAGTACGGTCCCATTTTGATTATGCTTCCTTAATTTGGCACACTGTTAATATTACTCAGAATCAAAGTTTATCCTCTCCTCTGTCCAAAATAATTTCCTAAGATACTTATAATTCAAATGCCATATATAAAGAGTTCCTCACTCAGGATATGATACTGCTTGTAATTTTTTTTGGATAAAGTCTTTAGATAAAATAATGAATTTATTAAACTAAATTTCTCTATAAATTACTACATAATATTATAAACGGTCCTGAACTCCTTGAGCGTTTGAATTTTAGGATAAACCAATCATGTTCAAGAAATAAATCTCTATTTTATCCTTCAAAAATCAATGAAAAATACATGCTATACACCGGCGCAAATGTCCTTATGACCGCGGGAAATTTAATCCATAATTTAGATATATTCAATACCACTCTACGCAACTTGTCAAATACTCTATCCAATTAATTTTATTTACTATCTTAATTTATTTCATTATGTTTTTAATTTATTTATTATAATGTTATTATAGGTTAAGATTATTTTGTCTGATATGTTAATACATGTCTTGATGTATTAATTATTTTCTATTTTTATTTATTTTGTATGTTAATTTAATTGTTTAACTTAACTTTACTATTTATTATTATTAAATTATTCATTTTACCATGTTCACATAAGCTGCATACAGTATATTTATTATTTTTTAATTGGAAATTTCCGTAAATAAATAATAATTATTATTATTATATCATCGGCAAAAAATAGGAATTGAGCCTTATTTATACACTTGTTTACGGAATTTACAAATAAAATGAAAAACAGAGGGCTGAGATAACCACCCTGCAGAACAACAGATGATATATTTGTAATGGTAGGTAAGAAATAGTGTAATATGTTTTCTACCCGTTAGGTACGAGGCTAGCCAAAACTGATGCTTATCATTAGAGATCGAATTTCAATGCATTTAGATCTCATTTTTGTAATGATATACACAATGCATTCCAAGCTACAAATGTTATCCAAGTACTCCATGTTGCAACTATAAATAACTTTTGGAGCATTTTTAACATTTTAAACGCATTTTAAAAAAATTTGACAAATTTTTTACATTGAGAATAAAAAAATTGACTTCATTGAAATATAAACATAGTACTATGTAATATAAATCATTTTTATCAGGAAATGTGGGTTTTAAATAAGAAAAGGCCACTTTTATCGAACGATAATATATGTTGTGGCCAAATATTAGACGCTTTTAGTAGATTTAATTTATTGAATAGGCAATTTTTAGAGTTTTTAGATAAAAATGCATTTATATATTTTTAGGGCATTTAAATAAGAGCCCTACTAAATACATATGGGAAGTGTATTGAAGAAACTTTCATGAACTACTATCATTTATGTGGTAAAGAATACTTGAATGACAAGTAAGACATTTTTTATACAGTTGAAAAGGCATTAATTATAAAGATTTTAATTTGAGAATAAATTCCTAAAAAAACAAAAAAATTGAAGAAAGAAAAACCTATCTATTTTTATCATGCCTTTATCTTCTGCAAGATTGGTAATTTGTATATTTGTCTATATTCAGACTTGTAACTTGTCTTTTATTTAGTTAATTAATAATTAATTTTCTTTTTTTTAATTATTTTCATTTGTTAGTACTTTTCAATTATTTTTTAAAATGGGTAAAATAAAAAAGGCACAGGGAGTTAATTCAAAGACACCATTTGATAAAAATAAAATCATAGGTGAGTCGAAAAAAAAAGACGAATAAAATATAAATGATGATAAACCCGAAGAATGTGTTGAATACGGAAGTATATTGAACAAAAATTAAAAAACTACTCTGAGCAAACTAAAGAGCTATTATCAGTTATGTGGTAGTCATAAATTGAATAACAAGTTAGACATTGTTAATAGTTATAACATAATTCACTATATAGATTTTTATTTGTGCTTAAATTCCAATGAAAATAATGGGAGAAAAATTGAAACATTAACTATCAATTTATGTCACGTCTCTATATTATTCAAAATTAGTAATTTTTATATTTGTCTATGTTCAGACTTGAGACACTCCTATTATTTATTTAATTCCTTATTAATTTTCAAAATTACCTCTTTAATAATACACTACACAGTACACGGTATAGGAGATAACTATTATCCGTGTATAGGTACCGTCACGATGTAGAGAAGGTACAATCTTAAATCATGATAGGTACCTAAATCTGTGATGTTTGTTTGATGTACCTTTTATTTTGTGTATTTTAATTAAATTTAAATATTGCTAGTTTTCTAGCTGATAGCTAAAGACTAAATTTAATAGCTAAACGTCTACCGAAAATAGCTAGTATTAGCTATAAAATGGCTAGTATTAGCTATAAAATAGCTAAAATGACAGCACTGCGATCGTCCCGTCGTTATGGCCATGGATAAATAATAACATTCGATTATCGAAAGTAACAATCGAAATGGTCAATTGTTAACTATCGTTTGTTACACAGTCTTCCTCAGTACGTTTCCCCGAATGGTTGTAAACTTTCGTATGTTTCGATTTGTTATCAATGATAGATAATGGTGTGTGTGTGCGTGTGTGTATGTATGTGTGTATGCCATAGAGTAGTATAGAGGTGCTGTTGTATATCTTAATAGTGTTGTTAGTTTGAAGCCAAACCGTTAGTTATTGTCCCAAATAAAAAAGCAGTCTACAATAATTAATCCGCTAAATCACAGTGTATATCAATAACATTGTATTTTTACATTTCTACTTCATGAATTTTGTAATTCGTATTTGTATTTTGTATTAAATATTTAGTTTTTATTATTTTGATTCTTCTATAATTTTAAATTTAAATTCACAAAGTTTATTTTCATATTTTTAAAATGCCAAGTTGTTTTGTGTGTGGGAAAACAAGGAATAATGCAACCAAAGATGAAAATATTACGTTTCATAAGTGAGTATTAAATTATTTGGTGGATACAAAAACTAGAACAAGTCTACTTGATTTTCAGATTTCTAAAAAAAGATTTCTCTATTAGAGGCAAATGGTATGACTTTGTTATTATTTGACAATAATACAAATAATGGTTAAATAGAAATAATAGTAATTCAGTTTAATAAATTAATTAATGTAACATAATGACATAGTTATGGTTTGTTATTTAATTTTAATAATTTCTAATAGAATTTAAGAGATGGATAGAGATAATATATTTAACTCCAAAATATCTTTTTCTAGAGGTTTAAGTCCAATAAATTCTTGAAGCATTAACTTAGTTACAGTCATATTTGAAGAAACTTCTATACTTATACTATACTATTATATAATATACTTTAATTTGTATTCCCTTAAACTTAGTTACGGCCTACTATTACTAGTATTAGTTGATAAATCTCAAACATAAGATAAAATCTATGATCTCAAAGCTCATATTATGTATATGATTTATTATATTTAAAAGTTTAATCTCAATGTTTTACATAATTTGTTTCGCTGAAAACAGTCACACTCAAAGGAGGCATTGGTCGCCTTAATATTTATCAATACAACTACTCTATACTTCTCTATGGTGTGTGTGCACATTAATGAGGATCATGTTGTCGACCTTTTTGTCTGTTGGTCGATGACAACAACGGTTATAACAATTATTTTGTTGTTGACAAAAATCTATTCATGTACCATTGATTTTATTATATACAGATAAGCCGTACTATAGGATTATTCGGAAATAGCATTTTTAGTTTCAATAAAATCCGACAGAATCGCTATTGTATTAATTGGAATATATTTTATTTTGTATTGACTGGGAGAATTGGTATTCTATAGACGCAGAAACTGCACAATTGCCGAATCGGTCGGCGCGTGTTGTTCCCGTTAGTTTATTGTTAATTGTCATTATCCTTCGTCTATTACCTGCAAATGTGAAAATAAAATCTAATACAAATTCTAATTATTTGACATTTTTATTTATTTAACTACGGTTTTATATAGCTTGTTCTACATTTAAAAAGTCTATGTATTTTTACGACCTCGAGAGTACAATCTCTCAGATTTTCGTCCATATAAAGCTTGATAGACTTAAGTATAGGTATAAAAAAAATTAATTTATTTTTTATCAAAAATAAGTTTCAGAATTTTTGTCAAATATTTCGATAAGAAATTAATTAAAGTTGAAATTTCAAAACTTGTTCATTAATAGTGAAAATTATTGAATTGTAAAGCTGTTAATAATGCACAATAGAATGTGAAGATATTGACGGGAAAAATCCAAATTTACCGAAGTTCGATAATAGGTATCATTAATTTTATAATAACTTTGAACGTAACTAAAATTTTGGAACTACCAATTCTTTTTAAATTCAGAGTGGAGTGAGGAATGTATTGGTTTTACAATGATGTTTAATTTTTTGTACTTTGTACAAGATCTCTAGTGGTGTATCTTTTCTAAAAGCAAATTTTTTCCGAAAGGAACTTTAGAGAGGTCATTTTTTGATTTATAATGCATTTTTGTACACGATGTCTTATACTAGAAATATTGCTCTAATCGAAAAATAACAGAATTTTTCTCTTGAATCGGTTTTTTTATTTATAGTAATTGTTTATCATTGTGTACAGATATAAATTAAATAACTTAATGATGTTGACTTACAACATCAATTGTAGTTTGAAAACTCCGTAACGGCGTGAACATGCACATAATTTATTATTGATTCTGTAGTCACACTGCTCAGCCGTGGTCGCCAGCCACCTTTTCCCCATTTATCAATCTATGACGGGGCTAACACCTCAGTTGACAAAAGCCGCCGACAGCGCTTCAAAGAGGCGGCCAGCCATTAACTGTTACCGGTTTTTTCCCTAGCACGGTTTATCTGAGAATTATAAAATCAATTCATGCACTAACAAAAAAACAGTCAATGATGACGACGATTATGTAATATAATATTTGACTATAGCGGAGGATATGCGGGGTAACGCGAGTGCGCTCACGACCACGAAATAATGTTGTAAAGATAATTGGCAGAGGGTTGATGAGGGGGAGAGGAGGGAGTTATTTTCGAGTTTTAATCTGGGACAGAAACAGTATTAAAAAGTAAGAACAGGTTTAAGAATTGAACTTTGATTAAATACTGAAACAGGAATCTCACCGAAATCCTCTGTTTTTGGAAACCGATATCGAGATCTTTAAATTTGTTTAACATGAAATGTATTATAACACACAAATAAAGCATTCAAAAACGTGGTTTTTGTCAATCATGCATGTTTATTGCTAATGCCACCATAATTGTAGCTTACTTGATTTGTCTATGTTAAAAAAATTGAGTTGTTATGCAATTGAAATTATTGCATATTTTATTCAAATCTGTACGTCTAACATTCTAACACGTGGTTGTATATTATACAGTAATATTACAGGCCATAGCCGTGTGTATGACTTATAAAGTGAGATAGAGGTGGCTTTCGATTTCTAAATTGAAATTGAAAAAACTCTTAAGAAAATCGAAATATAACTTCCTTAAAGTACCTTCCCAGTCCGATTTCCTTTCAGAAAAGGCACTACACTTAAATATCAGAGTAAGATTTCTGGTAGAAAAGTTGTAGAAGAAAAAAAAACATCTTTGTGAAGCTTCACTCAGAATCTAAAATGTGTTTATGTGTCTATATATGCAGATTATATTTATGTGCACATATTTACATAAATATGTTTTTATAATATAATAATCTAAATATTTTAGAAATTATTTTAAGGTTTTTTCCATTTTATTTTTAATTTTGTGTAAATGTAAATCATTTTTAAGTTTTTAAACTCACCTAATATACTGTATAAATTGCATTGAATTGAAAAAAAAAATTTGTCTTTCGGCTGTGATCACTGCATGAAACAATATATAAGGTATGTATAACTTGTCCAACTTTTATTTATTACTCTGTAAATAATTTCATAGGTAACTCTTTTGGAAGATGGTGCAAGCAAGTGTCCATATTTTTAAATATAATTTATATTCCCCATATAACAATAAAATAAAATGATGTGCAAAATACAGTAAAATAATTTTTGTCAACACTTAATTTTACTTACCACCTAATACTATAAGATCCCCATAATTTATACAGAGAGAAGCATTATCAGGAAATTATAAACATCAATTATTTAAAAATTTAATTTCTATAAAGTAGCTAGAATAATAAAAAGTTTAAGCATATCTTTATAGTTTCTGTTATATATAATATTATACTTACTTTGATTAAAAAACCTTAAACTGAAAGATTAAATTTAACTAAAATACAGCAGCATATAGCATTTTAATATAGTAAAGTATAGTAATAAAAAATGTCTAACAAATGAAAAGTTAAAAATAATTAATACTAATAAAATGTTGACAAAAATTGATATTACTAAATAATACAATTTTTTTTTTACAGTATGCAAATTTGTGCAAATTCAATATCTTTCAATTTATTCGGTTACGGAATTAGAAGTAGGAACCTTTTATTCACTATTCATACCAAACAATTGACATTAGGGAATTTAAATGACAGTTGCTAATGGACTGTGCTCCAAATTGTGATTTTAAACTTAATGAAGACCATTTCTAAAAAAAAAAATATATGTTAAATTTTAAAAATTCCGAAAAAATTAGAAAAAACTGATTTTACTGATTATTTATAACCTCCTGATATTTATGGTTTTTCCAGATTATAATATTATATTAAAACTAGGTAGATATCCTACATTAAAATATTTGTAACTAAATAATTTATAACATGAGATAAGTATAAAATTAAAAAGTAGGTATATAAAATAGAAATTTTTTTTTTCAGATTTGTAACTATAATATTATATTAGAATTAGGCATTCTATATTCATATATTCGTAACTAAATAAGTTATTTAACTTATAATATATAAATTAAGTATTAAATTAAAAAGTGGATATATTTTATGAAATTCGATATTTTTAATAATAACTCTTGTTTACCCTGTACAAAATATGACTTAGTGAGGTTCTGAAAAAGCAGTGGTATATTAAAATAATATTTTCAATGATACAAATATAATGATAATATAATGAATATAATATAATGATTCTAGATAATTAATATTATAAGTTACAATAGGTATACATTAAAAAGATATAACAAAATAATTAATATAGGTACATAAATTATAATTTATTATTAATATATGTTAATTTTATTAAAATAGAACATATTACATTACAAATACAAATACAATAAGTATTAAAATAAGTTTTTCTTAATATACTTATTAAATAATGTAATTGTTATACATTTTACATTCATTAAAACTATGAAAATACAAAATTTTATTAAATAAATTTCAGGTGCTGTAAAATTAAAAAAACATTTCAATTTAAAAAAAAAAGATTTAAAGCCATAGAATTAGGTGGGAAATTGAATTTTATAATGTAAAGTGATAAAATATTATTTAATAATTAACAATGGTTAAATTATTATTAATATCATAATAATTTGGGATGACTAAAATTAAAAGATAATTAACATATTGTTTTATAACATCTGTGATGCCTATAAATCTAACTATTTGATATCAACACCCAACAGTAATATGTTCAATCAACAATAACATACAAAAAAGGAAAATTTTGATTTAATTATTTATTGGGTAAATACAAAACAGCCATTGTATAGCAATCAGAGCAATGCTGATCAAATATGGGAAGCAAAACGAAGAGATATTAATGAACAATTGCGGGCAAATCGGAGAGGTATTATCATTCATGTGATAAGAAAAATTTTAATAATAAGTTTCACTTTTTAATACAGTGATTATAACATGAAATACAGAGTTATTTTTGTGCCTACCGTTCAAAGTATTAACAATACTAGAGAAAAAAGGCGGTAAAACAAAATTTGGGAAATCAATAGAGAAAATTGCAATGTTAAGAATGTAGATATGGGAACATTTAAACCAAGTTTTTATTAATATACCTTTAAAAATAGATTTAATCCATAATTTTAAATAAAACTACAATCTTATTTTTATTATCTGAAACGATGTTTTAAAAAATTTCCAAAATCACGGATTTACCAGCGTAAAAACCGTATATCCTAGCCTAAAGGAGTCCCAATAAAAAAAAGCGGGCCGTAATCCGCAATCCCACTCTGGTCATCCTATTCGACTAGCCATAACCTAAAGAAAGGAGGTTGTCCATTTAGTGAAAGCTACAATCAGTGCAGACTCGTTTACAATGCCTACGAATTATTCAACACATAACGTGGTGGTCTTTTGGGAAAAATTTCGAGTTTATTTAAAGGATGGTAATAATACATATTTAGGCAATCGATAGAGAAAATTGCAATTTTAAGAATGCAGAATGTAGATATGGAAACATTTAAACCAAGTTTTTATTAATAAACCATTAAAAAAAAATTAATCCGTAATTTAAATGAAACTACAATTCATTTTAATTATCTGAAACGATGTTTTGAAAAATTTCATAAATCACGGATATACCAGCGTAAAAACCGTATATCCTAGCCTAAAGGAGTCCCATTAAAAAAAAGCGGGCCGTAATCCGCAATCCCGCTATGGTCATACTTTTGGACTAGCGATAACTTAAAGAAAGGAGGTTGTCCATTTAGTGAAAGCTACAATCAGTGCAGACTCGTTTACAATGCCTACGAATTATTCAACACATAACGTGGTGGTCTTGTGGGAAAAAATTCGAGTTTATTTACAGGATAGTAATAATACATATTTAGGCAATCGATAGAAAAAATTGCAATTTTAAGAATGTAGATATGGAAACATTTAAACCATGTTTTCGTTCATAAACCGTTAAAAATAGATTTAATCCGTGATTAAAATAAAACTACAATTCATTTTTATTATATGAAACGATGTTTTAAAAAATTTCCTAAATCACGGATTTACCAGCGTAAAAACCGTATATCCTAGCCTAAAGGAGTCCCAATAAAAAAAAGCGGGCCGCAATCCCGCTCTGGTCATCCTATTCGACTAGCGATAACTTAAAGAAAGGAGGTTGTCCATTTAGTGAAAGCTACAATCAGTGCAGACTCGTTTACAATGCCTACGAATTATTCAACACATAACGTGGTGGTCTTGTGAAAAAACTTTCGAGTTTATTTAAAGGATGGTAATAATACATATTAAGGCAATTAATAGAAAAAATTGCAATGTTAAGAATGTAGATATGGAAACATTTAAACCAAGTTTTTATTAATAAACCATTAAAAAAAAATTAATCCGTAATTTAAATGAAACTACAATTCATTTTTATTATATGAAACAATGTTTTAAAAAATTTCCTAAATCACTAAAAAATTTCCTAAATCACAGATTTACCAGCGTAAAAACCGT